CGCGCGTGAAGTGCACTTCCGTCAAGTTTGACGGTTTAGGGGATAACGCGCAATCAAAAGTATAATACAAGGGGGTATGGCGCAATTTTTAAAATACAGGGGGATAACGCGTAGATTTCGTATAATACAGGGGGGTTTGGCGCAATTTACCCATATTGAATATAGTGTTGTGGGGTTAAAGTTGAGTTTAAAAATGATGGGTTTTTTTTTTAATTATGATCCATATCCAACCACACCTTTTTACCTTTTTTTCTTTTTTGGTAGTTGTTGAATTTCAGTCACTTTATCAAGGGAATCTATATGCAACAAAAAAAAAATAGATGATACCTCGAGTGAAAACTAGATTTTGATGCTCTAGACGAGTGGATAGCAAGTCCCTCAGTATCCGACTGTTGTTGAAGACTTCTTGCATGGCCAATTGCCTAAATCGAGATTATCAGCATAACATGATTAGCTCAAAATACCGAAACAACTAAAGTCGAGTTTGGTAATCTTACTTGATTAGCTTATAAGTTTCTTGTATTCAAATAAGTTTGGTTTGGTAGGACGGGCTTTTCTAAAAAGCTCGAGTTTATCACATAAATTATCTTGGATAGCTTTTCAAATAAACCCATTGAAATTTTTATTTCAGCTAGCTTATCAGCTAATTTTACTAAACACTTTTATCATATAATTTAGTTTTTCAGCCATAAGTCATAAGTTATAAGCTCGAAATTCACTTAAAAGCTATAAGCTAGCAACTAAGTTTACCAAACATAACCTAGCCTACATAAAAGTGTTTTGGCAAAATTAGTGATAAACTAGTTGAAAAACGAACTTATTTGAAAAAGTAGCCAAAGGAGCTTATGAGATAAGTTCAACATTTTTAAAAAAGTTCGTCCTACCGAACGAAGCTTATTTAAATACAAAGTTTATAAGCTAACCAAATAAGTTATAAGCTAGCTTATATGCTTACCAAACACAACCTAACAAGCATAATACGACAAATCAAAGCTCGTTGTACATCAGCAGAGACAAAATGCACAAATTCACGGATGATTATTAACTAATAGTACCTGGGATTTAACAGCATTGATCAAACCAGGTGGATGATCTGAAGATGAGGAGATGTTTTTCTCCAGAGGAGACGAACCTTTCACGAATGAGTGCTCGAGAAGTTGAGCTGCCGTGGGGCGGTTCTGGGGATTACGCTGCATGCACAACTTAACAAACTCTTTGCCTTCGTCCGAAAGGTAATCGGGTATTGCTGGAAGTTCTTTGCTATTTCCAATCTTAAACATAGCTGCCACCTGTAAACCCAAAAGCACAAGATTATATTTATACGTATGTGTATCGTGTTATAATGAGAGTGAAATTATTATTGATAATCTCAAGGACCGAAATAACGAACCCCTTCATATTGGCTCCAAGGAGGTTTTGCTGTGGCCATTTCTAATACAGTGCATCCGAGACTCCATATATCGACAGGTAAGCTAGACCCATTTGAGTTCCTTATGACCTAAGCCAACAGCAAAAATAAAATAAAAATAAAAATAAATATTAATGCAGCTGAAAGCAGTTCTAGAGTTATAGGCTAGTTAAGAACGACAAATAATACGAGAAAGACAAACCTCAGGTGCCATCCAATAAGGACTACCCTTAAACGATAATGGGCAGGATTGTCCTGTAATCTGTTCAACCAGCATAAATTGCATAAAATCAAATCTACACAGCAAGAATATAGTGGCTTCGAAAAAATTAAAATAATCACTGAAAAAAGAAAAGAAAAAAAAAAGAACATATTTTTTCTAGGACTCATAATTTACTTGAAGAAAAGGAACAAAATTTGATTCTTACATGCTTTGCCATGCCAAAATCTGCTAATTTAACACGACCATTTGGATCCACGAGTATATTGGCACCTTTAATATCTCTGCCAATATATGCCGAGCAACAAGTAAAGAATTAAGTTTAACGAGTAGCAAAAAGCCATACAAGGTAATAATAGACAGAAAACTGACACAATGAAAAGCATCACAACTCACACGTACCTATGCACAGTGTTTGTGGCATGTAAATAAGCAAGCCCCGACAAAATCTGTTGAGTGTAACTGCGTATAGCAGATTCTCCAAGTTTCCCATATTCTTGAAGAATCTTGTGAATGGAACCACCAGATACATATTCTAAGTAAATATACAACTTGTCATCCACCTGATAGAACGAAACAAATATGGAATTATTAAATATAAGCTTTAGAAAATTTAACTCAATGCATTATATTATACT